GTTCATTGTTTGCAGAGAGCTGGTACTAACAGAGAACCAGCCAACCAGTGTTGCCAACTAATTTTCAGGGGAAGTTGCTAAAGGCAGATCCATTTGTTGCTAAAAGTTGCTAAATGTCATTGTGATGTCATTGCGTAACCATGACACAAAACAGCGTTTTTACGTAGAATACACAACGAGATTATACTCAAATCTCAGCGAAAAATACATTTTTTTAAATGTTATTTGTTCATAAATATATTATAAACATAAAATATTTTAATTTGTAAAAGTAACATAAGTAGCACATCTTTATGATCGGATTTTTTTTTTACAACATTGACTTATTGAACAGTTACAAATTTGATGTATTTTAATATTAACTAGTAAAACTGCACATTCTGAACAATTATAGTTTTAAGCAGTGTACTGGTAGTTAGTTAGTTAGTATGAACTGAACAGACTGATTTAAAATCTCCATTGCTGTAGCTAAAATGATTCATAAGGCTGAGAGAATGCCCTCATCTTTGACTTGCTTCCATTGTACTACTCGGATGTCATATCATGCATATTTCTTTACAAGTGAAAGAAAACTGGCATCCGCACTACTAAAATACACTACTAAACTATTAAACATGCATTGCAAGACAAATTTAGTTTTCTTTTCTAATGACCTCCTAATGGCTTGGTTCATTGTTTGCAGAGAGCTGGTACTAACGGAGAACCAGCCAACCAGTGTTGCCAACTAATTTTCAGGGGAAGTTGCTAAAGGCAGATCCATTTGTTGCTAAAAGTTGCTAAATGTCATTGTGATGTCATTGCGTAACCATGACACAAAACAGCGTTTTTACGTAGAATACACAACGAGATTATACTCAAATCTCAGCGAAAAATACATTTTTTTAAATGTTATTTGTTCATAAATATATTATAAACATAAAATATTTTAATTTGTAAAAGTAACATAAGTAGCACATCTTTATGATCGGATTTTTTTTTTACAACATTGACTTATTGAACAGTTACAAATTTGATGTATTTTAATATTAACTAGTAAAACTGCACATTCTGAACAATTATAGTTTTAAGCAGTGTACTGGTAGTTAGTTAGTTAGTTAGTGTGCTGCACAAAAGTCTGTAAAAATAGGACACAATGTACTGTTTATATGAAGGAACAATATGTATTTATTTTTTTCTTACAGTGTACCTAACTGAACAACAATTCTATATACAAGCTAATAACATGCTGTATCATAAATGTGCATTTATTATTGACCAATTGGAACTAGCAACTTAATGCACATTTGATGTTTGTACTGTTAGGCATCTTTCTCCAGCTCTCTCCAGGTTGATGTGCTGCTTGACTGGCTAGCGGTTCAATGGTTTCCTCTTTTTGTGTAATTTAGATGAAAATATGTGCCTTTTTTATCATTTGAGTCACTTTGAAAAAGTTGCCAAAAACTTTTTAAAAATAGCTACATTTGTTGCTAGGTGCTTTTTGAAAAAAAAGTTGCTAGGGTAGTTTGAAAAGTTGCTAAATCTAGCAACAAAATTGCTAAGTTGGCAACACTGCAGCCAACTATGGTAATTGGAAGAAAACATCTCTACTTCCCTCTAGCGGGAGAAAATCACTGAAAGACATTTTGTCTTCTTCACAATATCTGCAGGTGCTGTTAGGCCTTCTCAATGTTTTGTTGAACAAATTTCCTCCTCTCTTTTGAACATATAAAAACCTCTGCACCATGTCCCATAATTTTACAATCTTATCTTAAAATAGGATATTTTTTAGTTTTATATTTTTAAACATAGCAGAATGAGCAGTAAATGTTGGCCTTAATTGTGTTATTTTCTGTACAGCTGCAAAACATACAAAATAAAACATTTACAAATTTAAAATGGTTCCTACAATATCCCAAAATAAATTAATTAATAAAACGCTGCTTTCCAGGCGGAATCAGTGTTGCCAACTTAACAATTTTGTTGCTAAATTTAGCAACTTTTCAGACTACCCTAGCAACTTTTTCTTCCACAAGCACCTAGGAAAATCTTTTGCTATTTTTAAATTTGATTTGGCTACTTTTAGCAACTTTTGATAAGTGGCTCAAACAATAAAAAGACGCACATTTTCCATCTAAATTTCACAAAAAGAGGAAACCACAGATGCCTAGCAGTACACACATCACGTGAATTAAGTTTCTGCTATTTGCAGTTGTTCAATTTGATAATAATAATAATAATTTAATAATTGTTCATTTATGATACACCTCGTTAGCAGCTTGTACCTGTGATTGTTGATCAGTTAGTACACTGTAAGAAAAATATCTAGAAAAATGGAAAAGGTACTAGTAATTTTCCAGGACATTATCCGTTATCCATCATCCGTTGTAACCCGAAACACTAAATACAATGCGTAATTTAAAATGCAGGTAAATACCTGTGAATTATTTTCTTAGAGTGTAGCATACTGACTACTAATACACTGCTTAAAACTATAATTGTTCAGAATGTGTAGTTTTACTAGTTTACTAGCTAATAAAAAAAATACAAATTAAATCGTTCAAAAGTGTTCATTAATTCAATGTTGTATATAAAAATAGTTATATTTGAACATTATATTATGCTTTTATATTATTTTACGAACAAATCTACATTAACATATACAAATATTTTTATTTGATGTAGGGACACAATTTTGCGTCGTGATTACGTAATGACATCATAGCTTGCAGTGACATCACAATGCCATTTAGCAACTTTTAGCAACAAATCGAGCTTCCTATAGCAACTTCCCCTGAAAATTAGTTGGCAACACTGGGCGGAATATGAAAGGAAACAAAACAAAAAACTACTTACCCTCATGACGTTTTCAATTCCGCCATGCGCACCTGAGAAAAAAAAATTGGTTTGTTTAGGCACAACAGTGAAGGCCATACAAGAAGAGAGAAATGTTTTCTGAAATCATTGGTAAAATCATTTCTGTCAATCAGGCCAGACTAATAACTACAGCCTTTTCTCTTTATTACACAAATGTATAATTAAAAATCATTACAAACCTTGATCTGAGATCAGGTAAAAAAAAAAAAAAAACATAGCCTATGGGTTGACATGTTGTGTTCAAATAAATAGCAGTGTGTTAATAAATGTGTATGAAGCTTTTATTTCCATATTTTATAAGTAATGGAAACATACATGCAATTCCAAATGAAAGCATTATCAAGTCTGCATTATTCTTTGACAGGAAGCAAAGAAAATGTATATTCATATGGTCAAAACATATTTAGCAATGTTTATTTGCATAGCCATTCTTTTTATAACTGTTGCACATCTACATTGCATGGAGTCAGCCAACTTCTGGCACCTAACTACATATAGTTCCTGTGAATTTTTGGGTTTTGCTTCAGAAACTGCATTTTTAATGTCACCCCACAAGTTTTCAATGGGGTTGAGGCCAGAGGATTGAGCTGGCCACTCCATTACCTCAATCCTTTTAGTCTAAAACCAAGATGTTGCTCGCTTACTCATGAGTTTGGGGTCAACATTGTCTTGTTGAAACACCCATTCCGGGGGCATTACATCTTCAACACAGGGCGACATGATATATTCAAATATTTTGATGTATTCAAACGGATCCATGATCCCTGGTACACGATAAAAAGGCCCAACACCATAGCATGAAAAACATCCCCATACCATGATTTTTGCACCATTCTGTGAATGAATTCTCTAATTAAACTCCACACTGCTACTGTTTCAAACAACCTTTTCAATGAACGAGTCAGTTACTCAGAACAAGCAGTGTGCATTTGATGACAGTTGGGTATGTTGCTTTTCTATTACACTACTACAAATAAATTGCATTGCAGAAATTTCACTATACTAATAATAACTGTGGATCATCGGGTTACTGATGTTGTAGGCCTAATGCTTTTTTTAACACCACTGTAGATCATTGTCCTTTAGTGTCAACCACTGAAATTCCGAAATATTTCAAAACCGTTATGGTGAAACTAAGCTTCGTTTACTGAAATCCTGTGACTTACTGGACGATACTGGATGCAAATCATTTGCATGGGTTCTAAGCTTCACAAAGTAGTGTTTTCGAAGTGTCCATCATTACGCATAATTTACCCCGTATTCTTATTCCTTTTAGCTCATTTGGCTATGTATACAGTTGTTGACAAATGATAAATTGTTTTTAACATGCTGTACCTTCCAAAAGTTCATCTATCATGCTCTGAGCTTCCAGTTTGCCAAATATGCAGTGGACTGCACTTAAAGGTGTAGTTCACCCAAAAATGAAATTTCTGTCATTTACTTACCCTGAATTTCTTCTGGGGAAAAATATATATTGTGGAAGTCATCAACTGTTTGGCTACCCAGCTTCTTCAAAATATCTTTTTGTGTTTAAAAGAAGAAAGTGAATGAAGCACCTTAACTATAAAAATGCTTTGATAAGAATCAAACAAAATGGGCAAATTTATAAAGGACTTAAGCTGAAATCCTGTGACTTACTGGACGATACTGGATGCAAATCATTTGCATGGGTTCTAAGCTTCACAAAGTAGTGTTTTCAAAGTGTCCATCATTACGCATAATTTACCCCGTATTCTTATTCCTTTTAGCTCATTTGGCTATGTATACAGTTGTTGACAAATTATCAATTGTTTTTAACATGCTGTACCTTCCAAAAGTTCATCTATCATGCTCTGAGCTTCCAGTTTGCCAAATATGCAGTGGACTGCACTTAAAGGTGTAGTTCACCCAAAAATGAAATTTCTGTCATTTACTTACCCTGAATTTCTTCTGGGGAAAAATATATATTGTGGAAGTCATCAACTGTTTGGCTACCCAGCTTCTTCAAAATATCTTTTTGTGTTTAAAAGAAGAAAGTGAATGAAGCACCTTAACTATAAAAATGCTTTGATAAGAATCAAACAAAATGGGCAAATTTATAAAGGACTTAAGCAAAATACCACAATACAGGAAAACAGACAAAAGCAATTCATCCAAATATCCATTGATAATCAGAAAGCTTTTTTATTTGAAACGGAAAAGTTAAAGAGAGGCAACCCTACAAACACAATGTGAGGATTCACGATTCATTTGACAAATTTAATCCACAAATGTTTCAAATCGTTCACTCTGATACTCCTTTCTCTTGCATTCAAAGCAAACAACAGTGTATCTGAGCGTGATCACACATCTCTCACCCAAAAACACACAATACAGTCTAAATGAAACAATGCAACCCTGAACACGAACAAGTGCGTGCGAAACCCTCCGCTCAGTCCACATACAGTTTAAGGTGAAAAATAAACATTTACACACAAATGTCATAATTTCTTAGATATCCCTTATTTAATACAAAGCATATGGCAAATAAACTATGCAGAGGTCTAAATGCGGATGGAGGAATTGTTGTGGATAATTTCTTTTTATGAAGGGAGAAATATACATCAAACTAAGAATCACTTCCAAGTAATCATTAGACCCTTCATTAATAAGTGCAAACTGAAATCAATGAAGTTGTTTGCAACTATTTACACACAAATACACAAAGGAAACCAGTCCTGTGTGCATTAGCGCTGATGATGCCCACTTGATGCATCTCACCATTCGAGTCTCGGTATGGAAAAGCTCTACAAATTCCAGCCAAACAAAATAAAAAAATACAAACTATTCAAGATAAACCCAAGTTAAATGTCTATTGAAAAACAAGCAGTTTTCAAAGCATAATACAACATGTGGAACTGGCAGGCAAATGTAGAAATTCAACTGTATAGAAATAGCACGCTCTAACAGAGACGCCCCCTTCCAAATCCATTAGATCAAAGCTTATAGTCTCTATTCAAGGGGTGTATAATAACTGGAGAAGAGGACACAATTGCGCCAAGTCCCAAAGCTTCAAGTGACATTACGCCAAACGCTCTATTTGGCTCCCATTGGACAACGTATCAATGACATCAGCATCTTCTCCTCTCTATGCTCGCAGCTAATCAGAGGAGTTGGAGGTGGCGTCAGGAGGGCGGCTGCTCGGGCGTCTCAGTGGTTTGGGGACACAACGTAACGATAGTTACTGCCGGTACCCTGGTATCTTTCTCTGGCGTGTTTCTCGCAGTACATTTTGTCCTCCACCCAGAAGTGGCCGCGCATCTTTAGGTTGAGCCCGCATTCCGTACAGGTGTAGCAATCTGGGTGACGGAAGCGATCATCTGTGATCCTCACGGCCTGAGTGCTGAAAGAGAAAGGAGAAATAAAACTGTTAATGTCACTGAACACAACAGCTGTTTCGAAACCTAGCGAGCTACTCTATCTTCTAAAGGCTGGAATACACTACACAGCTTACACATATATATATATATATATTTTCGTGCCGTCCATTGCTGCTTGCTCCATTTATAATCACTAAAAAGCTGTCACTCATCTTAGTTCATCGCAATCTCACAAAGTTACGTTATAGTCAGCGAAGTTCTCTACGATGCACAATGAATCTCTTATTTACATCACACCTACACTGTTATTATGAGATGATTCGTGCTGAACACAACACCTAAACAAAAACTCTAGTGATCTGAGCAGTGAGTGGATTCTAATTTAAATGCCTCTGATTGGCTGCTGCGTTCAAGAAATCAACAGATATGTCTGTGATTGGCTACAATGCTCAGCACTGCAAAAACACGTTGAAATAGAAACCGATCTCCAGAGCACAAGCCATAACGCACTGGATAGTTTGCCAAATCTGCGAAGAAATGCCATTATTACAGTTTTAACCGAGGGTGCTATTGATTCCGTTTGAGTGTGTTTAGCACCTTCTAGTACCCCCGTAGAACCGGTCCTGTGTCTCTGCTTAAGCTGTGTTGTGTTCAGGAACAACTTGAAAGCCTAGTTTAGTGTATGATTGCCAGTTTTTCTCTGTAACCACTTACAAAGTAGACAAGTACTGTATATGATGCCTAGCGTTTTTAAATCTGTGCAGGTTGTGTAGTGCATTTCAGCCTCAAAGCAGCATCCTAGCTGCAACAATCTACAGTGACTCATTTGGAACGCTCTATAAAGGCAGCAACTTTGCATGCTACACAAATAGCGCTCAGCACACAATGCATGGAAGAACTGAAACACAACTGACTCCAGTTACGACTGATGTTAGCATTCTGCTAAGCTAACAACTGACTACTGTTAACACAGGTTCTCCTAAAGCCCAAAGTATACTTTTCCATTTGAATAGTGTGTAGTTTTTCAGAAAAAATTAGCTAACAATTTTAGACTTAATTTACTGATGTCCTACTATGATGTCCTACTGTGGCCAAACTCACAGTAGACTTGCCTAAAGGTGTAAAACAGTTGTTGCTAGAAGGGATACAGCTAAAACCGGAAACTAACAATCAATAAAATTTTCTACCTATTAGATTGTTTTATTAATGTCAACACCTACCCCTTTCAATAATGCAAAAACAGTAATTATTTCTGTATAGAGAGACAAAAATTACGCTATTTTGATGTGGGAATCTGTATACCATCTTGCCTTAACCGTGTGGAATAAAAAAGTATACAGAATCCTAACTGCAATGGTATGGAAGTCCATTTCCACCACTGAATAAAAAAAGAGAAAAGTTTTTCTTTTTTTTTTTCGTGCCGTCCATTGCTGCTTGCTCCATTTATAATCACTAAAAAGCTGTCACTCATCTTAGTTCATCGCAATCTCACAAAGTTACGTTATAGTCAGCGAAGTTCTCTACGATGCACAATGAATCTCTTATTTACATCACACCTACACTGTTATTATGAGATGATTCGTGCTGAACACAACACCTAAACAAAAACTCTAGTGATCTGAGCAGTGAGTGGATTCTAATTTAAATGCCTCTGATTGGCTGCTGCGTTCAAGAAATCAACAGATATGTCTGTGATTGGCTACAATGCTCAGCACTGCAAAAACACGTTGAAATAGAAACCGATCTCCAGAGCACAAGCCATAACGCACTGGATAGTTTGCCAAATCTGCGAAGAAATGCCATTATTACAGTTTTAACCGAGGGTGCTATTGATTCCGTTTGAGTGTGTTTAGCACCTTCTAGTACCCCCGTAGAACCGGTCCTGTGTCTCTGCTTAAGCTGTGTTGTGTTCAGGAACAACTTGAAAGCCTAGTTTAGTGTATGATTGCCAGTTTTTCTCTGTAACCACTTACAAAGTAGACAAGTACTGTATATGATGCCTAGCGTTTTTAAATCTGTGCAGGTTGTGTAGTGCATTTCAGCCTCAAAGCAGCATCCTAGCTGCAACAATCTACAGTGACTCATTTGGAACGCTCTATAAAGGCAGCAACTTTGCATGCTACACAAATAGCGCTCAGCACACAATGCATGGAAGAACTGAAACACAACTGACTCCAGTTACGACTGATGTTAGCATTCTGCTAAGCTAACAACTGACTACTGTTAACACAGGTTCTCCTAAAGCCCAAAGTATACTTTTCCATTTGAATAGTGTGTAGTTTTTCAGAAAAAATTAGCTAACAATTTTAGACTTAATTTACTGATGTCCTACTATGATGTCCTACTGTGGCCAAACTCACAGTAGACTTGCCTAAAGGTGTAAAACAGTTGTTGCTAGAAGGGATACAGCTAAAACCGGAAACTAACAATCAATAAAATTTTCTACCTATTAGATTGTTTTATTAATGTCAACACCTACCCCTTTCAATAATGCAAAAACAGTAATTATTTCTGTATAGAGAGACAAAAATTACGCTATTTTGATGTGGGAATCTGTATACCATCTTGCCTTAACCGTGTGGAATAAAAAAGTATACAGAATCCTAACTGCAATGGTATGGAAGTCCATTTCCACCACTGAATAAAAAAGAGAAAAGTTTTTCTTTTTTTTCTCAAAATTATAAGATATAAACTCACAATTGTGAGTTATAAAGTCAGAATTGCGATATAAATTCTCAGTTCAGAATTGCGAGATACAAACTGACATTTGCAACAACAAAAAAAAGTCTGAATTGTTTTTATTCCGCAATTGTGAGTTTATATCACACAATTCCGAGAAAAGAGTCACAATTGCAAGTTTGTATTACACAATTCCGAGAAAAAAGTAAGAATTGTGAGATGTAAACTCAGTTGTGAGAAAGTCAGAACTGTGAGATAAAAAGTCGCAATCACCTTTTTTAATTTTTTATTCAGTGGCGGAAAAGAGCATAGCAATGGAGCAACTGGTTCTGGAACTTAAATGACAAAACATTAGAATCGATAGAAATTAATGTTAGCATGTTGCCAAGCTAACAACGTAGTTGTTCTTAATGAGCACAAAAACTGAGCACACACATTTTAGCGACAAGTATTTTTTTATGTTGGCTTGTCCACCATTTTTCCGCACCAAGGCCATCGTAAGACATTCGAAGACTGCCTTCTCCGCTAAAGCATACAATGCAAAATTAGTATCTAAAACTATGAAACAGCTTTTCATACAACTAAAACTAATCATAATTCTCTTATACTTAAGTTTCTCCGTCTAGTTCTGTTCATTCTGTCAAATAACTTCATGAAGTGCATTATGGGATACTTTACTGAAGTACTAGTACAGCAAATTAGATAGTGGTCAAAAGGTGGTACCTTTTTGAACAATGCTCTTATTGGGAATGCATCGAAGGTTCCTTAAAATGCTGTCTAGGTAGGCAATTCACTAGGTTTTGAAACGGCTGCTTTGGTGAAGTTTTTGTCAAAACAGACACACCCCTAAGTTTTTATCTCACCTAATGAAGGTGTTGATGTGTAATTCTCACAGGGTAATATAATACTGTACGAATGAATACCCACTGAGATTCGTCTCAATAGTACTCAATCATCAACTTAAATGCGAAGAGATGATGAGACGACTCTTCCCTAAAGGCTAAACATCACACAACACTTTCATCAAGTTACCGGCTCATTAACTTCTTATGCAATCCCAGCATGCCTGTGCAGAGGACATACAGTGGAGTGTGTGCAGAGACTGGGGGATTCGGGTGTTTTATCTTACACAATACTGGTGCCGCATTTTTCACAGGTGTGGTATTTCTGCACACCAGAAACAGAGGATGTGGTCTTGGAGGGGCTTGGAGACAACTTGCTTGGAAACCGGATGGCGGCCTCTGTGAAAACAAAGAAACCACAAACCAAAAAATAAAACATTTAGCGCCTGGAGCAACATCCTTTTGCTTCCACCCCCACCCTCATTGTCTGTCCACAGCACACCTTCACATGTAGCAGTTTCTAATGTACGTTTAATGTTCTTTAAGATGCTAGTGTGTGCTTAATAGTTTGGCACCACAGTCTCCTGTCTTCTGACAACCGAAAGTGGACCAGACTTTATACGTTGACTGAAAAACCTTGTTGTGAGACATTTGAGGTTTCACCTTTCTCATCAGCCTCCAGCACCTCCTGCAGCATCTTGAAGGTGTTGGACTGGCGAGGAGCCGCACGGGATTCTTTGTTCTCCTGAATCATCTTGTACACCTCTGAGTCTCTGTCAAACCTCTGCATGGCAAAGTCCGAACTGAAAGAGAGGGAAAGAGAGTTCTTTAAATTTGATGCCACCTGAAAAAACAGCACTCAATGAACAAAACACAATCTAAAAGTGATGAAGGGCCTCAGTTAATCCATCTCTGGGTTATGTTAAAAATATATACTCACACTAGTGTAATATTACAGTGAGATCAGTCCTGGTTTTATAGCCCAAAAAGACATATGATTACAGACGCCTTTAAAGGCAAAAGTAAAAAATCCTTTGTGAAATGAGATGTTTGAATAGCCTTATGCTCTCATGGCAACTTCTTTTGTCATTATGGATAATGTCTGCTATGCTATTTTGAGTATATAGAGGCGTTTTACATTATGGAAAACATTAAAAATAGCTATAGACTAAGCCTTTCTACATTACTAGATAGCCAAGATCTCTGTACTAACTTAAGTGAATAACCTAAAATGCAGATTTTAGTCATATGGAATATTAGTATTTTCCATTTTCTCTCTCCATTGTTCTTCCCTCGCTCCGGTGGCTAGCCCTACTCCGTCTGAACACAACAATTAGCAGACTGTACTTGTATGGGAAAGGAAAGATTGAAGAGAGCATGGCTTTGAAAAACTGTTTTATAACGTCCAGGTTAATGAGCTGATTAGAGTGCAGTTACAGTAGCCGTCCAGCGGGAGGTTAACAGCTGCATTTTTATGCACGTTTTATGTTATGTCATAAACACAGAGCTTTCTCACACACAAGCATCCTATTACTGCTTTACACCTATTGGGCCATTGCCATACAGCCTGGAGGAAAAAATACAGTCATATGAGAGTAATTAACATTTTAACCACACACATACACTACTGTTCAAAAGTCAGTTTTTTTTTTTTTTACATTAAATTAATCTATTTAATAGATTGAATTGTTTGTAAAATAAAAATTAAATAAAAAACAGATTTCTATTTCAAATTTTCCATTCATCAAAGAATCCTGAAAAATATTTTCACAAAACATTGATATTAATCAGAAATGTTTCCTGAGCAGCAAATCAGGATATTAGAATGATTTCTGAAGGATCACTGAAGACTGGAGTAACGCTGCTGAAAATTCAGCTTTGCATCACAGGAATAAATTACATTTGAAAATATATTCAAATAAAAAAAAAGGTTTTTAAAATTGTAATATTTCACAATTTACTGTATTTTTTATCAAAGAAATGCAGCTTTGGTTAGCATAAGAGACATCTTTAAAAAAAATCTTACTGACCCTAAATGTTTGAACAGTAGTGTACTTTACATAGGATTTGTTGATATAGAATTTGTTCGTCAAGTGGTATGTTTCTGAATATGAGTGATCCCTTGTTCAAAACCTGCTCTTATAACTTTTAATAAACAAAGAAAGACTCTTACTGTACATCATTGGATGTGAAGACTGGAGTAACGCTGCTGAAAATTCAGCTTTGCATCACAGGAATAAATTACATTTGAAAATATATTCAAATAAAAAAAAAAAGTTTTTAAAATTGTAATATTTCACAATTTACTGTATTTTTTATCAAAGAAATGCAGCTTTGGTTAGCATAAGAGACATCTTTAAAAAAATCTTACTGACCCTAAATGTTTGAACAGTAGTGTACTTTACATAGGATTTGTTGATAGAATATGTTCGTCAAGTGGTATGTTTCTGAATATGAGTGATCCCTTGTTCAAAACCTGCTCTTATAACTTTTAATAAACAAAGAAAGACTCTTACTGTACATCATTGGATGTATAACGGATGTAAATGAAGATCAGGGTGAGGTGAAGCTTTTCTTTTTGAGTGAGCACACTTGTTCAGAACTGACAAACCAACAATAATTATTTTATTCCTAAATAAAGGCGTCAGGTATGCTGCTCTGGACCCAGTTTAACTTCTGGTCATGAGGAACGTATTACCAGATCCTTTCTGGCGCAGTGGCCCTGTGATAGTTTGCTGGTGCGGTTTGTTGTCAAAACACATGCAATCAGGATTTCTGCTGTGTACAAAGGCCACGACATGCGCTGAGAAATGATTAACCAACAGCCAAATCTATCAAACAGAACTCTCAACCTGACCTGCAGCGTAAAACAGAGGTGGAAAATGACACAATCAGAAATTGAGGGTTTCATTGAGTTTCTGGGTGTGGTTGTCACCACAAACCCACATGACAGCAAGCATGTCATATCATGGCTGACATGACTGTTTGAGTGTGTGCAGGACAAAAAGTAACTCGTCCAAGACAGAAAAAGAAAAGTAAGAAGCATTTGGAATAGCCATTACTGAAAAAAAGCATTTAAAGCCACTATAAATCTCCGAATAAATGGCATGTTCACTATCTGCACACAGGCTGTTCAATCAGACATGCTTCAAATTAAAACCAGACAGAGAGTTTGAGTTTCCCCTCAAAACCCTCCCAGCACCTCTCAGTTCCCCCACAGGGCTGTCCCTCACGGGACCCAGAACAACAGTTTTATGGGTGCGTCGCCTCCTTCGAGACCAAAGAGTAGGATATATAACAGGGGAGCATAGTGGGCTCCTTGTCAAAGGGCCCGGTTGTCCCCTCCTGCTGCAATGGATATGCATGTTTATCCCTCCGTACACTGTAAATGTGCCATTTATTGAGGTGAAGTCGATATAAATTATCGAAACATGCATAGAAAGAACTTTCCATCCATCTTCAACCCCCCATCACAGCTTAACTATGATTACAATCTTGCTAAGCAGGCTTCAGATGGAGCCGTGAAAACAGTCGACACAGCATCATTAAATTACAGCGCTGAGAACAGAGCGCAGCGCTAGGCTCACATTACAATATTTCTTCTCCCCCCGCAAACTAGCTTGTCATTGCTTGGTAAGATAGAGGAAGATGCCTGAAAAGTTTGGACTTACCTCAAAAGCAAACAAAGACAAATTCCTATCCAACTAGTTCAACTCTTGTTGGAACAACAACAGAGCCTACGGTGACAACTGCACACACACATACACATACACACACCTCTCTGTCGAGTCTTGACGAGACATAAGAAAGTTGAGAGTTTCAGTATGAAAGGTGTGAGTTTAGACTGCCTTGTATTGGTTGACAGCAGAAAAAGCAGGGTGTGGCTGATCGTTTTTGACATTTTCTTATTGGATGAGCAAAAAGGAGGTGGGGTCATGAGTGTGTAGAAGAGGGAAGAAGGGTGCAGAAATTAGGAGCAGCAATTATATAATCCTTTTCTAGAAAACAAGACAAAGTGAAAAAAGAAAAGAAAAAAAGAAAAGAAAAGAAAAATACATTTTTGGGCCACCAGCCATGTTATGACTCATTTAGACATCTGACATAAAGAGACAAAAAAAAAATCTGTTTTGAGAACTGTTCAAAGAACAGAATCTAAATGAGATCACATTACAGAATCTCACAGCTGTACAGAAATATTCATGTTAAAATCTATGAGCGGAAAAAAACCTGTAGGGCAGTTAATTTAAATGTTGACAGAAGCAGCGGCTTCTGTTCAAATATGTACCTGCGTCGAGGGGAAATGGGCACCTCTCGTTCGATGGGGCTGTGTGGAGAGTATCGTCCAGGTGGAGTTGGAGTCCGACTGGACACGGAGTTACTGCGGAAATCCACGGAAGAGATCTCCTACAGAACACACAAAACACAGCACATCAGCTTCAGTGTGACAGAATAATGCAGTCTGCAGTGTTAGCTGAATCAACCCCAAGTATGTGTGTGTGTGTGCTCAGATGATGTCTGAAAAATCCCTGGATCTTCCCACTGTCTCATACCCCATGCTGAAGCACCTGCAGTTGCTTAGAGACGTCTGGGGTTGAGCAACCTTGTGTGTGTGTGTGAGCACAGTCCTAAGGCAAGAAATTAAGCCACCCTTGGATTTTTTTTAATAAAGAAAAAAAACAGACATTACCAAGATATTTGGAGTGCAATGTGTAACCAGCATCAGAAAGCGGATTTCATCAAGAGTAGATCATTCAGCAGGACAAATTATCTTTAAAAAAAAAAAAAACAGGAGAGGTTGAAAATAAAATGCTGGACTGTTTTTAAGTGGCCAGCAATCAATCCAGATCTACATTCCATTGAAAATCAATGGAGAATAGTTCAGCTGATAGCAAAACAGTGACAGTTTGACCATCAGAAAAGTTATTTCAAGTTGTGATCAAACAGAAGCACGACAGAACTTTTCTTCTGTATTGTGACGTATATCCGAGAGAATACTTTCGTGACACTTTTCATTCCTGTTCTGTATATCATTAAATTGAAATGATTTGTTGGGGAGCAAATACATGTTTATAGCATTTGCGATGTTTGTAAACGCAACTCAACAATGCAATTTTGACCTGTGCGACCTATAGTTTTTACTGTATGTGTACTGTACACATTTACTGTACTGTATGTCTATGTGACTATACACAAGATCAAAAAAGAGAGAAATGTAAATCAATAACAAGCATTAAGAAAATAGGTGAATTTTCACATGTCAACTTTAATAAGAATTTTACATCAAAATGTGAGCTTAGCTTTATAGGTGCCATTACCAAATCAGTATATAACCAATTTATTTCAGAAGCAATGTTAGCAAATCTATAATATTTAACCATAACATTAATATTTTACCTTCAATAACAAAACACCAATTCCAAACACAATACCAAAAGTCGACATCTAGAATCGCACTATAATAAAATCCACAATGTTCGAAGAACCCTATTCCAGGACAAAAAAAGTGCACCTGATTGGAAAATAAGCAGATCCCACACATATGAAAGACAATATTTACTTGTACAGAATGTTCTGGAAAGTGCAGCATTCGCTGATAAGAAAAAAATAATAAATACAAGGGTCAAAAAGAACAGAAATGCATTCAGATCTGAGAGACACAGACTTTGTACAGACAAACTCCCCTGGGTTCCCACATGTAACATGTTTTTATAAACTTTTAAATGACTTCCAAAAATAATAAACGTGGACAAAGACAGGGAGACAAAGACAAGAGCGAGGAGAATGTGATTGTCAGATGCTTAGACCATGAGAGACACTCCCAACACCTCATAACTTTCCTCATACATCAGGACAAAACTAGATTCCTAATTCTGACTAAAGCTGGAAGTATGCAGATCTGTCATCATCTCAGCTGCTCTGAGTGTCCAGATTATCTTTGACTGTGATCTCAGCAGGATTCTTGGCCACAGAGACCCCGAATACAATTGATTTCACATTCATTCACATTCAGTGTTTCGTGCCCGTCTTGGGAGTTCCTGATGGCCGTGCATATCTACTGGAGCTGCTGGGAAAGAGATGAGAGTGATGGAGAAGGCATGCTAACAGATGTTTGGCCCTAATGCTGATGAATGTTGTCCTGGGCAGCTCTTCTGACACTAAATAAAGGAGTCTGTTCCCAGGCTCCAAATGACAACTTCCACCTGGGGCTTTTTGGCTCCAATCAATCAAATTTCACAAAAGTGCAGGCAAGAGCATTTCCGCCCACTTGAAGCAATTATCAACTGCTGTGATGATCAGTTTCACTGCTGGAAAAATTTGGGTGGTAAACACTCGAGCAAACTCAACTGGGAATGTTACAAATTCACATTCAAAAGTTCCCTAAACACATTTAGCATTTATTATGAATAGGGAGAAGTGGGGTAAGCTGTGCCACTTTCTGTCAGCTCTTGTCAAGTCATGGGGAATGTTATATTTTAAATAAAAATGAACAAATAGAGGGATACAAAAAAAATCAATGTATTAATCCACAACACCACTCTAAAGTCTTATTTGCAGCACATTATTTCCATTTGCATAAGTGTATTTGTGTAATAAAATATTTTGTAATTAATATTGTTTATAATGAATGGCACTATAATGTATGTTTTATACTTTTCGTTTTTGTTCTGTATACCATTAAATTTAAATGACTTAAGCGAGGGGGGAAAATTTGTTTATAGCATTTGTAATGTTTGTAAATGCAACTTAACCGTTTTTTTTCCCTCTCTCAACAATGCAATTTTGACCTGGTACGACTTATTTTTACTGTATTTTCGAGAATTATTTCCACTAATTATGTTAATAAAAATATTCAAACAAACTTCACTAAAAATGACTGCACAAAATAAAAGAAACAAGACATTTCTGATGTTGTTTTGATTAATGTGTCTTTAAATGGGTTTCTTTTCATCTGTGCAGTGATTATAAGCAAAATTTGTTTTTACAACATGGACATTTAAAAAAAACTGCATAAAAAAACACCAGGTTTACATATTAATGAAATATTGCCAGGCAGTTGTATATGATGAGCCCTTTCTACATATGTGTTAATATGACAAACTGTGTAACCCTTCCTTCTTTTACAAAGAGGAGAACAAAATAGGAAAGAAGGGGAGGCAGAGAGGTGTATATTAAGAATCCGGCCACTAGGGGGTGTCATACACAAGGTAAACATCAGTATTATGAAGGAGAACACAATGTTGACATCCTATGACATTGTTATGGTTTTTATGAGTAACTCATTGCGCTCAACTTTTTTCTAAGGCAAAATATGGATCAGTTTATTTGGATAACTTGTAAGAAGGAAAGTGCAAATTTTCCCTCTATCCAAACAAAAGTTTCCTGTAGTCTAAACTTGTGCTGGATGGCAGTGATGGCATCCATGCTTTCAAAAGAACTTCATGGAAAAGTTCACAAGTATTTGTATTTGTCCATAGTTTGGGAAATGCTTTCACACTGTATGTCTTTCTACTCAGGATTTTATCATTTTAACAATTTTTTTGTGACTATTAATTTCAGTGTGTGCTCATAAGTCTTAATTGGTCCAAGGAGACACAACAATGTGTATTTATTTATTTTTTAATGATTAAACTTACAATCTTTACCAGGTAGATAATAAAACGGACTCGCACTGAAGTTGGGACTTGAACCACATCTAGTGCAACCATCATTCATGTATGTAGCACAAAGGACGTGAAACAAGTTACTTAGAGGTTCAAAAACCCCTCACAAATGAGACAAACCACAGATCCAAGTGACAAATGTAAAAAACTGTAAAGGTATTAAAACAGCACAATTTATACAAACACAATCTTAAATAAAACCAAACAAATAAACAAATGAAAATTCTAATCTGTCCCACCACAATTTCATAATGAACAAACTATTTTTACACTTAATCTCACAATAACATAAAAGGTCTCCAATGTTGTGTTTTGCGTTAATGCTTTGGCAAAGCATCTGTCAGTCTAAATAAAATTTGAAATCCAAAGTTCTGTCATGAAACTCTAGACGGTGCAGGTTGTAACCACAATGGCATCATCACATGGCGCAGCTGATTGATGTTTTTATTTTTAAAACGTACACATTTTTCAAAACTCCTGTGGGAAACACTGGGGAGAGGGAGCAATCAAGCTTCTGTTTGGATCAAGCAATTGAATCAAGTGTGAAAGCACCCTAAAACAGTGAATCTCAAATAAATTGCAAAATGGTTACAAAAACAGTCCGTATGGAACGCAGTCAAAATCCAGTGGGACACTTCACACATGGCCGCCATCACTGATTGATGGAGGAAAGCTGAAAAACTTGGATCTGGTGAAAAGAGGAAGAATTTTCCAGGCCTTAGGTAGATGTAGATGACAAGATTACCCCCCAAATACAGTGTTAGACACAAATGAGCCGCTCAGGGCCTGCAGAACTAACTCATTGAGCTGGCAAAACTTCTAGACGCAGTACCCATCAACAGCACGCAGTTAAGATCTAGACAAGCTCGCCAGGAATGCTGTCGAACCAAAACAAGGGCAAAATGGGAGAAACAAACAGTCTCAGACATGGGGGCTAAAGGAAGAGAAGGTAAACGGCTTCTGCCATTCCATGAATTGATTTTAATTGACCTTGTCTGTCTGGTGACCAATGAAACAGTGTAAATTGTGCTTGACCATTTATAGTGTTGGTGAATTGTTGTTTTACTGGGGAAGGGGTGCATTCCTTTCTTGCCCTGTGTGTGTGTGTGGGTGGGTGGATGTAAGCTGTGTTTGTGTAGGACTGAGCCTATGAGAAGGAAAGGAAGTCCATGTGCAATCACAGGCTTTTCCTCAAAGCCCAAACACACACATACTCAAGTCTTTCCTCTGGCTGGAACAGGTAACTGCGGCTGATTAGCTTTCATCTGTACCGTAATCAAGACCTCTAAACATCCTCGGGACAGCACTGCACATACACAAACATTCACATGCACCAGACTATCTACAAGACCATGGATTTAATACACTTTGGATTTAAAAGTGGTGAATGCACAGATTGGCTGCTTGTGATGACTCGAAATGGTGACACTTAGTTTGTGAATATTAATAAGGTCATGCACAAATAATTTTACAAATTAGAACTTTCCAAAAATCATGTAGACAACAATTGGAACCTATAAACCTAGGGCGGTTTTTTTTTCCCTGAGGTGAAGAACATGTCAATTTGTCATTTTTCATTTAGTTTATTATTTTTTTTATATTGACGTCTAATACCATGTAATACCACAGTAACCAATGTCTCAAATATAGACAAATAGCCATATACCTAAAAATAACTGTGGTAACTACAGTATTTTGATGAAAACTATGGTTACCATACCAATTTTTTCTAGTTAATTTAAA